CATTGAACCTTATGGGAAAATTTGCTTCGGGGTGCGACCAAATTCGGAGGGCCGAACGGATTAACCGGATTTACATTGAACCCTATTGGGAAATTTCCTCCAGGTTACGACCAACTCGGGATACGCCCAGAGTCACGGAACGGATTAAGTTCGTATCCCGAGGTACCACTGTATTGTCTTTAAAATATGTATTGATGTTTCATACACCAGAAACACAGGATTGGCTAGTGAAGTCAATTAAACATATTGCCTTAAAGCTGCTATTCTAAGCCCATTTACTCTATTGTTTTCCTCCTTGATCTACTTCTTTGCCATTGAAGTATCAAGTTAAAATGTTTTAAATCTCAAAGTGGGTCAAGAATGCTCTATGGCTTGTTTGAGAAAAGTCAAATTAGGAGAAGTTGATTTGTACAGCTGTTTCCTCTGTATCACCAACAACAAAAACTATTTTCAGTTTCCTTGTGCACATAGTTTTCTTCTGACTTTTTTGAGTTGAGGGCCTCGAGGCATATTGAGAGCTGCGCTCCAAAAGACAGGCGATGCAGCTTTGCAAAAACGAAATGCAATTGAGGCTAATCAAACTTGCATTTTAAATTAATTAGAAATAATTATAATTTAAATCAACATGATTACTTTCCTTGATATTGATATTTTTGATTGTTGATATTTTAAATCAATCAATTGTTGATATTTAAAATATCAAATAAGTTGATATTTTCCTTCTGTCATACCTAGAATTACAGTGTAACTTTTAGAAGTCTCTAGGGATCATGGTTGCATTTTTGCTGGTAATTGTTTCAAAATGAAATACATTAGATACAACTGAGATATCACTGCGGTGATCAAGATATCCCTCTCTCACTTATAAAACTTAGAACAATCATATTTGAAATTATCATTTGAGTCTGAGAAAGAGGACCAAGCATTATTTTATGTTTTCCTACTGTTTTCCTCCTTTCCCACCTGAACTTAATTTTATCAATGGATTTGATTCACTGGAAGCTTATCAGTTAAACTTTTTCTGAAGTTGTAATTGTATGAAGACTTTGAAGTGCATCTAGTATGTTTTTGAATGCTCCAATCAGAATTCCTGTTTTTGGCATCAGGGGGTATGGTGGCTCTTTCTCACCCCTTTCCAGAGGAAAGAGTCGCCTAAAAGATTCTTCCCATCCTCTAGGACATTAATTCCTTTGCACGATCACTTTTGCCTGTTGCTTCTATTCATTTGTGTTTATTGTTTCTCCATTGCCAGTATTTGATCTATGTTTTTTTCTTTGTTTTTTCACTTACCTCCTTGCACTGTCTCCTGCTGCAGCATGTTGTCAGGGCAGAACTAGTGAAATATCCTGAAGAAGATAATCAGCAGCACAGCACTGCCAACTCTCAGAGTAAAGTCTGTGCAGTGCAATAGTTCAGGTAGTATAGTAAAAAAGACTCTGCTTTTGCAAATTATTATTACTGTTTCATTCACATGAAGTAGAAACTGTAAGACTGTGCCAATCTGATCTGTAGATTTGCTAGCTAGTACTTTGATTCCAGTATTGGATGTGTTTAAATCCCAGTGAATTCATAATTCAATAATACTTAGGTAGAATAAACTTGGGGGCTTTGCAAACTCCCATAGTATGGTCATGAAAGCTTAGGCCCTGCTTTTGAAGTTTCAGAGGGAGCTTCACAAGAGGCTTGTGGAAATCACTTTTGGAAGAAGGCTTCATAAGCCCCGAAGCAGGTGAGAACTTTTTGGCCTGGCCCTTAATCCAGAGGAAGCCTCACGCCAGAATCTTACTGATGGGAGAAAAGAGAAGCATTTTGGTACTACAGTTTCTGAAGAACAACAACAAAAGATCTATAATTGAGGGCAAGAGGATTGAGGCATCTTTCACTATTCATAAGTACTTTTTAGGTGACTAAGTTCAAAATTCATAAACACTCAGGGAGAAAGCTGTTGAGAAACTGACAAATTTTGTGCGCTAGAACCCATTGTCCCCTCAATTGGAATCAAGAAGCCAGTGTTTAGAATTAGTGTGTGCTGTCACCATTGCTTACGTACAAAAGTGTTCAAGGTGCTCTTGTTTTGGTTCTTTGTCAGAATCTTTATGCACATTTTCTGAGAGAAAAGTGCTGCAGCATGCGTTCATTCTGACTTGTTTCAGTGCTCTACATTGCATAGCGGGTCATTAGTGTGAAATGTTTTATTAGCACTTTGGAACAGGCTTTTTTCCCCCCTTTGGATTTGCTTGCTGTGACCTCTTCTATTTTTCTTTTCTCTCTCTCTCGACAGAGCGTAGTGAAGGCGGATATTGTAAACTATAGCCAGGAGCCTGCAACAAGAACCGTTAACTCTCCTCGGAGCTCAATGTGTGCACTTCAGTGAGCGTTTTCTCTTTTTGTACAGTGCTCCTTTGGTTGCCTTTGCGCAGGCAGTGGGGTTGCCGGGAATGTTGTTTTAACAGGGAACATGACTGTAGTGCATTTAGAAGTTTGAAAAACTCACTACCCAGGCAGCTTCTTTGAATAGCCAAGATTCAAATGTTGGGACCACACACTTTGAAAATATATATATTCTTGTGAATTATATTTCAATAAAGGAGGGTGATTGTGTATAGAGATACTTTTACATTACATATATTGTCAGAATGTTTGAAGGGTGAATGCAATATGTGTAAATTAAACAGGATGAGAAAGATGTGTGAAATAAAGCAACGCAGTGAAAATATATTGGCTTTTGCTCTTTCTTTTTATCCCTTTTGTCCTTTCTCTTGTTAGAACCAGCAGAGCAGATCCTCACTTTAATCCTTGTGGTGTTTATTATGGGCTGTTGTTTAGGATAGCTGTTTTCAGTCATGTACTCAAAGCACCTCAGGTCATCCTGAAAAAATAAACAGTCTCCCACTGCTAGCACTTTTATTCATATGAAAGAGTTTTGAAGGGAAAAAAAATTAAGCTAGGTTGTGATTATGCCCTTGTTAAAACAGAAGAGACAACTGTTCTTTGCTTGTTGCTGGTTCTTCCCACTCTGAAGTACCAGACCATAAAATATCTATACTTATAAAATCAGAATATCCTCTCCACCGGGCTCTGATGGAGATAGAAGATTCTGTTGGTATTGGGCTATTAAGAACCAGAGCCATGGTAGATCAGAACAGCTTAAGTGGTGGGATATCAACAGGGAGCCTCTCACACCAGCACATGTCCTACTCACTGTTAACCTGTCCAAACCACTGTGGAGCTCTGTCTTTGGCCCACTTTAACATCTTGCCCTCTGCGATACTGGAGGAACCCAAGGCTCCAGCCCAGGGTATTTCAGAATGTTCCGCAGAATCTTAGGGCTCTGAAAACTTTAGGTTCCATGAAAGACGAAGACCCCCCACCCACCAAAAGGTCACTTGAATGCAGCCAATTTTCTATCACTTAGAACTTTGTCTCTTGATATGAGATTGCAGGATTAAAAAAAAACAACAACAACTAACAAGCTACAGTTGGGGTTTCAAAAACATTTGAAACCCCAGCTTTAGCCTACATGTTCCTACAGTGTTGTTTCTACAGCAAGTGATGCCCCTACCTTGATAACTAAATTGCTCAAAAGTTCTGTTGGTTCTGAGGATGATGTTATTTGTTTTATATTATTGGACTCCAACCATAATATCACCAGAAGAGGGGCAAAATGTCTTACAGTTTCCACTGATTTATGCTTAATTCTAGGATTATAGAACTATGTAAAAATATGCTTTTTATATGGTTTTATGTATTCTGGTCACATACGATTGGTCACTACCTGCAATAGTTTATACATAGTTATATCAGTATTTTTTAGGATAAATATTAGGTCCCTGTGAACAGATATCCCATAACTCTTCTTTCTAAAAGTGCTTTCCAGCAGTCAATTTGGGAAAGGCCATCCTTTTATAATTGTGGAGGGGGGACTTTTGCTCCTCACTGGGTTAATATGATTTTCCATGGGCTCTGAGACCACAGAGGCTCTAAAGAAGACAGGTAGATGCTAAGCCACTGGTGGTGGTGGTGGGGTGGGGGGCAGAAATGTTTGGTTTAATTTAACCTAAGAACACTAACTTCCAAAGGCTATTTAGAATGTTTATTTAGCTGGCTTGAGTAAAAAAATATACACAGTGCCAAATATAATTTTGGAATTTCTGCATATATAAATGTTACTTAGAAATCATAAACTTAGACATCAATTATGTTAGTGCAAAACATAGTCAATTAAGATTCACGTTTTAAAAAATATTTCTGTTTCTATGTCAAAAGTTATGGATTTTATTTTGGAAGCCTCCTCTGATATTTTTCAAATGGGTTAATGTCTTTTTAAACTTTATTGCCCAGAATTGGACCAAACACTCCGGTAGAAATCCTACCAAGGCAGAATACACTGCTGTTATTACCTTTCAGCTCACTGGTGTCACCCCTCCCTGCAGAGAGACAGGGTCTGTTTGAGGTGATTGATGGACCCAGTGGAGTTCCAGAGAGAGACGGAGGTTTTCCCTGAGGATCTGCTAGGCAGTTTGGCCAAAGCCCTAGTTGCTGCCTGGAATGGGAAGATGGCTGGGGCCTTGGATCATATCGTTCCTATGCAGCCTATCCCTGTGTGGCAATCCTGGGGTGCACCTTGGTTTACCGAGCAGCTCCGGGCGGTGAAATGCTAGAAGGGTTGCCTGGAACACCATTGGAAGAAGACTCGATGTGAATCTGACTGGACCATATTAGGGATTACCTTGTGATGATAAGGGTGGCAAAACATCAATATTTCTCTGCCCTTATTGCATCTGCTGGGCCATTGTGAAGATTATTCAAGCTGTCTGGTGGATAAAGTCACTCAGACTGGACTCTGACTGGGCAGAGCAGGCTGAGATGCCTGGGGTATGGTCTGGTGGTGTGATCTAGGATGAGTGTGAGCCAGTGACTTCTGAGGAAGTGGACAGGGCTCTCTGTGCTGTCAGTTCAGCCACCTGTTTACTGGATCTGGGGCCTCATGGGTCGTGAAAGTGGCCAGGGAGGTGACCCGTGGTTGGGTCCATGCTTTGATGGAGGGGGTGGTGCAGGGGCTCAAAAAGCTGTCCTTGGACCCAATGGTCTTCAATAACTATGGACCACTCTCCAGCCTTTGTTGTACACTGCCAGAGTCATGCCCTTGTGAGATGGGTGGCCATACAAATATAAATAAATAAATAACATCCTTCCCTTTCTGGGGAAGGTTTGTTCAGAAGGTGGTCAGTCTGCAGCTGATGAGAATCCTGGAGGAAATGGATTATCTAGACCAGTGTTTCTCAACCTTGGCAACTTTAAGATGCGTGGACTTCAACTCCCAGAATTCCCCAGCCAGCCATGCTGGCTGGGGAATTCTGGGAATTGAAGTCCACGCAACGTAAAGTTACCAAGGTTGAGAAACACTGATCTAGACCCATTACAGGTTCCAGGACGGCATTTAGTGCTGAGACAGCTTTGGTTGTGCTTGTTGATGACCTGTGGCAGAGCAGGATGGTGATAGTGCATTCATCTTTATGTTCCTTGATCTCTCGCCAGCTTTTGATACTGTCAACCACAGAATCCTGAGCTGGCTCTGTAGGTTGGGAATTGGGGCACCATTTTATGGTTGCTTCTTTCTCTGGGGCTGGTTCCAGTTGATGTTGGTTGACAGGGAGAGATTGTCCCCTAGGCCCCTCCTTGGTGGGGTGCCACAGGGTTCTATTCTCTTTCCGCTCCTTTTTAACATCTACATAAAACCACTCAGTGAGGTCATCCTCTGGTTTTGTGTTAGGTTTCATCAGTATGCTGATGATATCCAGTTAGATCTTTTGACTCTGGCTGAGTGAGGCTGTTGATGTTCTGTCCCAGTGCCTGGGGGCTGTGTGGGTTTGGATGGGGAGGAACCATCTCCTACTCAACCCTCCCAAGGCTGTGGGTATTTGGACTGCCCAGATCTGGGGATATTCCAACTTCAACCTTGGATGGGGTCGCATTTCCCCATTCAAGAGTGGTGCACAATTGGGGGGTCTTCCTGGGCTTACAGCTCTTGCGTTATAAGCAAGTAGCAGCTGTGGCCAGGAAGGCCTTTGCCCAGTTTCATCAGGTGTGCCAGTTGTGCCCTTTCCTAGATTGGGGGGCCCTTCAGACAGTCACTCATGCTCTGGTCACCTCATGGTTTGACTACTGCATTGTGCTCTATAGGGGGCTGCCTTTGAAGACATCCAGAAGCTTCAGCTGGTCCAGAATGCAGCAGTCTGGGTGGTGATGGGCATGCCTTGGTATGCCCATGTAACACCTCTGCTTCGCGAGCTGCACTGGTTGGCAGTTTGCTTCTGGGTGTGATTCAGGGTGCTGGTCACTACCTGTAAAGCTCTACATGGCATAGGGCCTGGTTACTTGAGGGACTGCCTGTCTCCCACACTATCTGCCCAGTCAATTTGATCTGGCAAGGTTGGCACATTCTGGGTTCCTCCGATTAAACAACTTCACCTACAGCATTAGGATCCTGGAAGTGCACCTTCTCTGTTCCAGCACCTGCCCTCTGGAATGAAGTTCTGCCTGAGATTTGAATGGCCGCCACCCTACTGGTATTTCAGAGGGCCCTAAAGACGTCACTGCTTGCCCAGGCCTTTGGCGAGGACAACTCGTGGCCCTTTCTTCCTTTTCCTTGTTCCCAGCCAGGTTTGTTTTCTCTGCCATCTTTGTTCCTTTGTTATGTATTGTTTTTGTTGTTTTTTTAAAATTGTTCCTCGTTTTTAAATATTTTTAACAATTTGTAAACCACCAGAGTCTCTAGGAGTCGGATGACATATAAATTAAATAAATTATTATTATGATTATCATTTTCAGTTTGGATTCTTCTGTTGACTTAAGACTAGAATTTTGATAGCTTTTCAGCTGTTTCCTTCCATATAATTTGTCATGTTTAGTTTGTGATCTACTTAAAATTTAACTATTTTTCACATGACTTTTCTTAAACCAATTATCATCCTTCATTAATTATGCAGAACAACTTTGTATCACTTGAAATTCACAGTGTTAGTTTTAGTCCAATTTTCCATGCTGTCAAGATAATTTTAATTCCTGTTTTTTTGGCTTCTAAAGTATTCTGGCTCTCCAAGTTTTGGATTATTTGCTGAACTGGTAGATTCTCCTATACTGCTTCTAGTTACCATTTATAAATATGATGAACATTTAATCCATGGATTTTTAGGATGTCACACTTATTTCAGTTGATAAAGAATCATGGCAGCTGCAAATCCACCTAACAGTATTTAGCCCACATTTAGCTTACCAGCAAAAATATCATAATAGATCTCATTAAAAGACTACTGAAATCCAAATATACTTCATCTAGAACAAACCTCTGATTTAAGTAGCTAGTAGGCATTTAAAAAAAAAGAAAAATAGTTTGGGTATGAATATGAAACCCGTGCAATCTTATTTTCCTCAATCTAGCCAATTGATTGCTTCTAGAACCTTTTCAGGCAACATCAGTCTGACCAGTCAGCAGATGCACTTTCCTCCTCCTCTTTATCTGTCTTCAGGGTTTTCAAGAATATTAGACTTGGTGACATCATTTCAGGGTTTCATAGACTGTGCCGTCATCTTCGGTAGCACCTCTAAGATACAATGAAATAACTACAACAAAGCCTTTAAGATATTCTGCTTTTTGCTTTGCATAAAATTGCTTTCTCTAAAAGTGAAAGGCATGATGTGCATATCTTCTATACT